AGAGCGCACACAAACTTTGCATCCAATCAGAATCTCAGGTTGATTATAGGGACTTTTCAAGATTACGCTCGGAATGTACGAGAATATACGTGAGATATGTTGGTCTCAATATTTAGCTTGGATCGATAATTAATTCAAATCCTAAACCTAAGTATTTTTGGAATTATGTCAGAGATCTTAAAGTAAATCATTCGGCCGAGGAAGTGCTTCATGAATTATAGTGAGCAGTTGGCTGATAATGGCGGACATTGTAGATTTGTTTAAAAGGTACTTCGAAACTGTCTATACGCCAGACAAATATTGTAAATTCATTGGAACTAGCCACACCCTCTAATATGTCAGACAATTTTAATTTCAACCCTATTTCTAATACAATAAGATAGTTGAACTTCCCGATAAAATTACCTTGGGTCTTGACGGGATTCCAATTTGGTTTTTAAGTATTGTTTATGCACTCTTGTAATCTTAGTAGGTATGTGTTATTCAACAAATCATTGTATTCGTCAACCTTTCCAGTCCTTTGGAAAGATAGTTTTATTTTTCCTATTTTAAAGAGCGGTGACAGGCACACTGTAACTAATTACAGGAGTGTATACATACAACCATCGATTCCCAAGTTTTTTGACAGTCTCGTCAGTGATTAGTTACAATCTATATGTGTTCCAGGTTAATTAATTGAAATCAGTGTGCTGGTTGTTGAACAGTAAACATTCTAATCACATCATCACATCTCATAATAAAATAACTAAAGCCTTGAAAGAGTTTAGGCAAGAAGATGCAATATATACTGGTGAGTGGATCACTATACTTTTCTCAATAGATTACATGATATGGGCTGGGCTTCAGTGCGGCGACTGTTAGTTGGACAAGTTTTTCGTCTGATCATAAGCAAAAGGTGAAAATAGGGTCTTTTCAGTTTGATGCAATTCTGGTTACGTCAGGCGTTTCTCAAAGAGGGCATTGCTCTCCATTATTTTTTGATTTGTTTGTTGATTCCATTTTTGATCGCTTTCAGAACAGTGACGGTCTTGCTTTTGCTGACGATTTCAAGGCTTTCAGAATAATTGACGACTTGCCCGATCAACGGCTCCTGCAGGAGGACCTGGACAGGTTGAAAGATTGGGCAGTACAAACAAATTGTTTCTTAATATTTCAAAATGTTGTCAAATTAGTTTTTATGAGGGAAAAAGAAAATATCATACTTCTTATTCATTCAATGGGGAAGATTTAAAATACGTAAAAAAAAATCAAAGACTTGGAGGTTATTTTTGATGAAGGCCTAACTTTGGTTGATCACGTCGAAACTAGAGTACGGTGCAGTTATTTGGTCTCCAGACCATGCAGTTCACGGTTATACAGTGAAGAAGGTTTAGCTTAGGTTTCTTCGTTTCTATGCATTTAAACTAGGAATGGTGATCGAAAATCACAATTATATTAGGCTAGAGAATCATCTTAACCTGCGGACTTTATCTAGTCCAATCAAATGGTACTTTTTTGGTAACATGAATGAGGTAGGTTTTTCAACGGAATTATATGTTTTTTTTTTCTGCCTCGTAGCAGAACCGGCTCAGACGCGAAAAACCCCGAAATTTTCGGATTTTTTCCGATTTTCTGGTCATATCTTGCAAACGACGCATTGTACGGAAAATCTCACAGTATTCAAAGTTAAAAATCATGAAATTCTGCGTCGAAGGACTTACCTAACTTTATTACTGTTAAATTTATAAGCCCGCCATCGTCAGTCAGAAAAAGCCAATTTTAATGAACTTACTTGAAAACTGCAATAAACTCACTTTTAGACGACAGTGATTTCAAAGCAACCACTCTAAGTAAAAAAAATATTTGAAGATGTTTTCAACCAAATATTGAGTTCATTGAGCACCAAAATTTTAAATTTGTATCGATATATACACATATACTGATCATTTCTTCATTTTCCCTCTAAACGTTTATTGGACAAAATGAAGGGGTCCAATAATAAAAAGTCTGTGCCTGTAAATATAAACCCCCCTACTTCTCAAACCCCACTTGTCAACCCTAAATTACTTCTTCCTCCATTTTTTGTAAGTCTGACTTGAGGATTTATAAGTATTATGTATGTAGATGTAATAGGAAGTAATCAAATTAAAAAGTTCTTTCTTGTCCAGAAAAAATTTTTCATTGACGAAGCATATCAACTTAAATAATAAAACAATAAAACTTAATATCTATCAGAACAAGTTAAAATTTTACCTAAGTTAAAAATAATATGTTCACAAAGTGTCTCCAAACAATTCTTCAATATTATAGTAGGCTTTAATCAAGAGTAACTCGCTTACCCCCTTTCCGTATGATGGACGTGAAAACTTAGCGCTACATAGTAGGAAATTGAAAGTTTTTTTAGAAAAATAAACAAAAGACTTCTTCACCAAGGTGCTTCTGGGAATTGGCAGTGGAATATTATTAGCTTGCCTAGTTGAATAGTGCCTTGCCGAAGAAAGTTGGTCATAGTATTAAATATAAACCAGGTAAACACTTTCGAGTACATAAGCATGGCACAATCAAAAGCTCGCAGCTCCAAAAATCAGTACCCATTTACACAAAAAAAATATTTACTCATTTATTACATTTAGATTAACAAGATGAGAGAATATATATAATATACATAGTATGTACGTATATTGTAGGGAAAATCATGGGAAGTCCGCTGAAGAAAAAGAGCTAGTAAGTTGTAGTATAGTGTGGAAATACGCTTTATGGAGAATACATGATAGCAATGTTCATTTCATTATACTCTCCTTCGTAAGTAAGTTTATTGCAGTTTTCACAAAAGTTCATTAAAATTGGCTTTTTCGACTGACGATGGCGAGCTTATAAATTCAGCAGTAACAAGGTTAGGAAAGTTATTCGACGCAGAATTTTATGCTTTTCAACTTTGAATACCGTGACATTTTTCGTACGATGCGTCGTTTGCAAGATATTATCAGAAAACCGGAAAAAGTCCGAAAATTTCGAGGTTTTTCGCGTTTTTTCACCTGAGCCGGTACTGCTATAAGGCAGCAAACATCAGATTCGTCTTCAGCACCCCAAAAAACACATAATTCCGTTGAAAAATCTTCTACCACATTCATGCTACGAAACAGGCACTTTTGAACACCGATCAGACTAATCGGATCGAAGAGATTTTGCTGTGTTTACTTTTCTGTATGGTATAATAAACAGTGCAATAATTGATTGTTCTGATTTCTTAAGTAAAGTAAATGTTGAAATAGTTACTAGAAATAGAAGACACAATGTCAGTTCCTTTTGTATTCCTTTCCACCGTACAAATTATGGTTTTAATATACGCCTATGCTATGGATAGATTCTCTAGAGTTATTAATGATCATCACATTGAAATATTTGGTATAACTTTGAGAGAATTTAAAAAGTACCTAATTTGATGGTATCACTTTTTAGGTTTTGGTTTTGGTTTTGCCATTATTAAGGGTTGCTTTAGTTAGTTTGGATGATTTTTATGACTAATCTATATTCATAACTTTATATTTTCTCAATTGTAAAACTGTTAATGGGGGTTTCCCTTACATAAATAAATGAAATGAAATAAAATTATGTTGGCAATGCAATGTAAAATTGTCAATGCTTTCAAATTTTTTACGTGAAAAGACTTGTGTTGCCAACATAGTTACTAACTAAATTTTTGACTTGAGGAATTATATATAAATTTGGGACATTGTATTTTGTAAATTTCTTTGAAATAATAGTTTGACGTGACTTTGCCAGCCTATGCCAGTGCCTGTCCCTTCTTGCATAATTTCTAGTAGGTAATGTGAATTGGAGAATCCAGAATACCGGCTCAATTTGTCGTAAAAACTGTATGTTCTCGTCAGAAGGAACATTTGTATTTCTGTTCGTTTATTCTGTTGCTAGTTTGCAAGTTATTAGCCCCTCATCTTTTTTCTCCTATAACTTTGGTATCGGAACGGCACAGTTCAAAATATCATCGGCACACTTCGGGCACAGTAGGTGGTACCTAACAATTTTGTTAGAAAATTCGAATGTGGGTGGGCTAACTTTGACGGAGCCCAAAATTAAAGCAATCATTACCTATTTTTTTTTTTTGCCAAACTTGCACCCCGAATTTGCTTTGTTAATTTCCGAAATTACTTAAACAAAATACATATAGGCACTAGTGTGCATGTAGCACTGTTACAATTCCAGTTAGGGCAGTTAGCTAGAAATTTGACATGATAGATTCACTTATTGGAGAACGTTATCGGCTGACCATATAGTGTGAATCGGCGGCAGTTTTAACATTTCCGGTCAGTGAAGTGATGAGACTACAATTATTGACAGCAATCAATTTCAAGTGAAAACTACATAAAAATCATGACACCCGCCCACCGTGCAATATTGGTTATCCTGGTAAATGAACATCTCGCTTTTCTTACTGGACTGTGTCTTGTCTCGAAAATCTTCGAGCCCTTTTGCCCTCTCGGTCTCCGAGATTAAAAACGCGTCTGCCGAGCAGCGGGACTGACGCGAAAAAAAAAAAAAACTTTTGCCGATGCGACAGACTAAACATTAATAAAAAGAAACAGTACAGTCTGGTCCGGCTTGAACCGGGGCGACCGGTCACAATTTGACAACGTCGCCGCAACGTTCGGCTGTGGCATGCGTGCATCTCTCAGGGTCGCCCGTGTTATCACAGACAGCCCTGACGCGTCGGGCGGTGGGATGACAAGAGGGGCGGCGGGGAAAGGCGGCGAATTTCAACTGTCTAGACGATCGCGGCACTACACTTGACAGCGCTAGTCTCGGCTTTCGGCTCCGGCTCCGAGTAGTCCGAGTCGAGTCCGCATATTGCGATCTACTTCGCTGTTGTAACGACGCGTTCCCGTTCTTACCAGCTCGAGCTCTCTCTTTCGTGTTTTCATACGACTCCGAGAATTATTATTGTTGAGAAACTTTTGGTCCGGAATAGTTTTTGTTGTTTTTTTTTTTTTTTAATCTACGCACAGATGACAGTGAAACAAGTGACTTTGGTCTCTTGTCAAACGAAAGACTGTTGCGGCTGTTTGAACATCAAAGACTTGGAGAAAAATATATTGAAGAAGGCGTTTAAAAAATGTTTTGGCGTGATGCGGCAAAAGGTGCATGTTAACAAAAAGGTAGGTACATGTCCGATAATTTTAAATTAAGTACCCTAAACCATAGAAATTTCGCCCTTGTGATTCTGTGATAAGCGTGGGTGATAGTTTTCAATGTTGGCTGTAATCATATGTTTGCAGCTGATATTAGCTCGTGATTTAATTCTCCGTTTTATGAAGTAAGTGCCTAATAAGTATATAAAAAAATGTAGATGAAGCATACCTAAAATACCGGATAACACAGGAATAGGCCTATAACTTTTTCATTTATTAAGTTCGAAATTTTATTTCCATCCTCACCGAAAAAATCCAGAGGAATTAGGTCTGGAAACCTTGCTGACCATCTCAGAGGTCCAATGGTAGATATAACATTTTTGCCAAAAGCTTCTTGTAGATGTTGCGAAACATCATTCAAAGTAAATCGAACAAGGTAACTGAAGGTAAAGATTGTCTAAATCATTCTGAACCTGATTTATAAGAAATTATTGCAAGGACCTCTAACTCCTAAAAATTCGATTTTCCAAAATCTCTAACTAAATGTTATAATCGCATAAATCTCTCCTGGAACCGGCAGGTCTAACAAGTCTTCGATTATTTTGAGACCAATATCGTGAATTCTTCCGGTTGAAGATTGCATACCAAGTGCAATGCTGTATTCTTCTTGCCTCGTTGACGTCATAAAATGTTGATGGAAATTTTATTTAGAGGATCTGTAATAGATGATTTTTCAAAATTCTTCTTACCGTTTCTCTCGATACATCGACTTCTTGCAGTATTTTTCTGAGAGAAGCACATTTGAATAGCCAAGGACATTTCAATATTCCGATTAATAATAAAGCGATTTTTGAGGATCAGCATTTCTATCTTGATATCTTCGCATTTGACTTTCAACTTTTTTGAAATAAGTATTCGATGGTATCGAATAGCGTACAATTTACGTGCCTGTCGCCTGTTTTTCCTGCACTCAAAGAAGATAAGGAGCATATCAATTTGTAGAGCATATCAATGTGTGTATTTTATTAAATGAAACAATTAGACAAAAAGATGTTTTTTTCTAAAGTCAAATGCATGACTACTTTTCACTGTTCAACTATCACAAATTGGTTACAAATTTTTCTGATAATTAGAACATCCCTCGGAACATCCAACTAAATCAATTAACAATTAACACCGCCGACATTTTTTTTTTCTAAAAATTAATTTTCGTGAAAAACCTTTTAAAAAATGGTCCTATAATACATAAAATGATCTGCAAAGACCAAAAAATACCGAGTGTCCCATTCCAAAACCAAAAAGTATGGCCAATTCCCGTTAAACCGGAAGTGACTTATAACGCAATTCATTTTCAAAAAAAGTTGCCTCAGTTAGGCTCCCCAAATTACCATTCCTTGTGTTACTCGGTACATATTTATGTATTGCTTCGATTTCTGCTCAGTCTGCGATCAGTGATCAGTACCTATGTTGTACATCAAAAATAAACTGGAATACTTAAATTTTCATCTGCGGTTGAACAAGGTTTCTTTTTGGTACTCAGTACTTTCTCTTCGTACATAAGTATCCTTAATGTTCAGAGAAAAACCACTTTTGAAAAATCTGTTGCAGATTTTTGTTAAATTACGACTTGAAAGTAGGTACTTAATAATAATAAAAGCAAAAGCAATGACAATAAAAAGATGAACATGATTTCTACACACTAATTCTTGATGCAGCAGAAAGTTTTCTTAGCTGATCGCTGCTAACTTTGAAAATATCCAGATTTGCACTGCTTATCAGCACCTCGTTGCACACTGAAAGCATATTGCTTATTGGTGAATGACTAGATTTATCAACATAAAATGGTTCCTTATTTGATATTCTTGAATGTATTTTTGGCACACTCAAACTAATATAGTTAGTAAGATCAGCTCTTGTATTTTAAATTGTTTAAAATATTGTAAATGAAACTGACAGCCTGTGTTTTCCTTTGAGTAGATAGGCTTACCATATTGAAATTATCAAGCATGGATCTGTATGAGACCATGTATGAATAAACATTATTTTCTTTACTGTAAGAAACGTTTTTTAACTTTTTGTATTTCATTGGTGCTTACTGCAGTTATTGGATTCCAAATATTACTAGCATATTCCAAATGTGGTCTCACCAGAGAATTATACAAGATCATAATAGTTTCACTAAGCAATTTTTTTGTGTTACGTATAACAAAGCCTAGTGTTTTGTAGGCTTTATTAATAATACACAAGTAATGATTATTAAATCTGAAAGTATCCTGAAAAATAACGCCTAGGTCCTTAATTTCATTTTTTCTAACCAGTTTAACATCGCCCACAAAGTAATCTTCAACAAAACAATTAACCTTCCGAGTATATGTGACTACCAAGCACTTTTCACTGGCATTCTGTTATCTTAATCAAATTGCAAATCAGCACAATCCTTTGCACAAGAAACCGTTTTAAAAAGCTTAAAATCATCAGCATACAGCAAACTATAGGATGACATTAAGCATTCAGGCAGATCATTTATAAATATTATAAAAAGCAGGGGACCCAAGTTGCTTTCTTAAATTGGGGAACTCCCGACGTAGAAACAAATTGACCAGAAAAAAGCATGTCCAACCCTGACAGCGTTGTGACAAATATGACCATAAAAAGATAGAGGCTTTAGAAGAGAGACCAAAATTAACCAACTTGTTCAGCAATATGCCGTGGTCTACCTTGTCAAAAGCTTTTGCACAGTCAGTGTATATAGCATCCAGTTGTTTCTTATTAGTGATGGCCTCAGACAGACATTCCGAGAAACAACATAGGTTGGTAACTGTAGATCTGTCCTCCAGTTGAAGTTGCGATATATTATTGTACAAAATTTTTTCAAATATCTTACTTAAACTATTCAGTAAGCTTAGGGCCGGTTTCTCAATAGCAGGTCACCCTCGGGTTAATCATAACTCCAGGGTGAACATAGCAATTGGACACGCTTACTCTGGAGTTAAAACCAACCCGAAGATGACTCGCTATTGAGAAACCGGCCCTTATTGGCCGGTAATTCCTAATGTAAAGAAAATTTTAGTAGTTTGTTGGAGCTTCCAAGATATTGAAAAATTCAATAAACATTTCACTATTTGACGCAACTTCTGCGAGATTCAATGCTTACAAAATTTTTTCAGCCACTTTCTCTTCTTCAACCATATGTATGGTTGTAGTAAAGTACTTAACCGCATCTATAAAATCTGCAATTATGTCTATTGCAGAAATCCTTGTTTTTGATTGCAGTGATCCGACTGTGAAAGTGTGTACGATTTCTACTTAAGTTTCAAATAACTATTACTGAACTAACTTATGCCACTGCTATTTACGAGTGATCTTATATGAAAATATAAGTACCTACAGGTTCTGAAACAATGAACTTAGAACTTCAAATTCTATTCTATTCCTAATATCACTTTGATTTTCACCTATATCAACATTAACAAATACAATCTACCGAATTTCCATTGATAAACTAATATCTCAAAAAGAGAAAAGATAACGAGATGTGGTTTATGGTTTGATCTGGAAGAATTAAGGTTTTTTATTACCAAACTCTGAAATTTCCTGGAATTTGGTTTTACACGAGAGGGGATTTCACTGGCCACGATGTATGTACAAATTTCGGTATAGTATTGCGGCAGTAATTTCTCAATAATAGCTCACAATGTCTTGCAATAGAAGCCAATAGTGCACAATACTTTGCAGTAATCTACAATAATTCTTAATGTTCCATGATATTCTTGCAATTGTCTGCAATACTCTCACAATAGTCAGCAATACTCTCACAATAGTCTACAATAGTTCAAAATATCATTACAATAATTTAAAATACTATCGCAATAGCTTGCAATGGGTTTGCAGTAGTTGTTCACTTTAATTTTTGCATTGGGACACAAATGCTCATGGCATGCCCATTCAACTATCTCTATACCAAAAGCTAGACAAATCAAATCAAGTAGGACAGAGAAGGCTTTAATGTTGAATATTACAATGCTAAGGTAACAGATATGAACAATGGAAACTTTTTAGAAATAAATTTAAAAAACAGGAAGTCAAAGACAGTAAGAAAGTCTATGTTGTTTATTTACTGAAAAAAAAAAACACAAAATTCTGATTTTCATACAATTGAGAATGAATTCGAAAATGAACGTTTCAGTAAAGACTCTAATGTAGAAGTAATAAATCATGAAGGAAGAAGATTATATAGTCAACCTGAATATTACTATGCAGTATATTATGTTATGCATACAAACAACAAGAAAAGCAAAGCAAAGTTTCTAAGATTGAACGCCAGTTTAGATGGTCTGAAAGAAATGAAATCGATGATCTCATCCATCTGATTCATCCATCATAAAAATTATATGAAAGAAAAATATAAAAGTTTGAAGAAATAGCGAATACCCTTGGGAATACCTATGTGTGTACTGCAATAACTTGCATTAAGTTCACAATAATCACAATGGTTTGCAAGACCTAGAAACATTTGGCAATAGGTTGCAATAGTCCACAATACTCTCACAATACTCTGCAATATCTCAGTATTGCACGATATATGTACAAAAAACTTTAGTGAAATCCCCCTCGATTTTGCAATCATTTGATTTTTTTAAATAAAATTACTCCCTTATTCATGCAACACTCTGTAGATTTGGTCATTGTCAGAAAGCCTGTCTACAAGAATGTATACAATATTTCGGGCATTGTTTTACTTATGCATCTAGAAATTTTATTATGCAATTTGCTGTTTGTTGAAGAGGGTATTGCTCTATGGTATGAGGTACCATCGTAAAAAAATTCTATTCAATGTGTATTACACCATAATGAGTTATGACCCCTACAACTCACTAGTCATAACTCCATACCTGTACCAATACCTGCATTTTCTTCTTCAAACTTCAAACTCTGTCCATTGTTCCGTAAGTAATTTTCCAAAAGTGTTCATCAAATTCATAAATTGTTGATTTAATAATGTATTTCTAGATCTTTCTTGTGCCGTA